AAATAAAAATATACTCCCTCCGTTTCGCATTATAGTGTATGTTTACTTTTGGTGCGAAATTTAAAAAATAATATTTTAATTGTAGTGAGTAGTTAAAAATAGTATAAAGATAATTATTTTTATTTTTTTTGTATAAAAGTAACAATGCGATAGTAAAATAGGGGTATTTAAAACAAAAAATGGGGTTCATACTTGCTAGAAAAAAAATGTATACGTTAACTGAGATGGATGAAGATAATTTGTCTTTATTTATGTATGCCATGGATTTGGCTAGACTTACCAATTGATAGTCTAACTGTTGATTGACAAGTCGATTGATAAATTATGTATGTCGTGATAGTCTAGCTGTTGATTGACAAGTCGATTGATAATTTATGTATGTCGTGATAGTCTAGTTGTTGATTGACAAGTCGATTGATAATTTATGTATGCTATGGATTTGACTAGACTTACCCGCTGATTGGCAAGTCGATTGCTAACTTGTGTAAATCGTGAATTTAGCTAGACTTATCTGTTGATTGGCAATTCGATTGATAATTTGTGTTGGCCATGAATTAAGGTAGACTTAGCCGTTTATTGATAAGTCGATTAATAAATTGTGTAAGTTGTGGGTTTGGTTAGACTTAGTTGTTGATTGGCAAAGCGAATAATAAATTTTGTGAGCCATGGAATTGACTAGACTTAGCAGTTGATTGACAAGTGAATTGATAAATTGTGTTAGTCATAGTTTTGGCTAGACTTAGTAATTATTTGACAAGTCAATTGATAAATTGTGTGAGTCATAGTTTTAGCTAGACTTAGTCATTGATTGACAAGTCGGTTAATGTATTGAGTGAGTCATAAATTTTGGCTAGTTGTATTTATTGTTTGACAATCATTTATTCTTAGATTATTTTATGCATTGCATATTTAATTCCTTATTTAGCTTTAGTTGATGTTTACTACATTTTTTCATAAAGAGTTACTTTTTGAACCTTCAACCACTTAATGTGTTGTAAGGACATGATAGATGCAATTTTTTATTTTTTATTTTATTTTTGTATTGAATAATATTTGAACTCATGATTTTACACATTTACTTCCTTTTCAAATGCATCATTGACATTTTTAAATGTGTAATTACCTTCTACATATATTGCATGTTTGAAGTAATATGGGTGTTGGTAAGTATATTTATGACTTCCGCAAAGAAAAATGTTTATACTCCCTTCTATTATTATTTAGACTTAGCATCAGGGCACATCACATTTTTGTGTGCCATTGTTTTGGTGTTGACGCGCGACATTTCAAAATTATTCTTGGGTTTTACAATATTCAAGTTTTTTTTTGCCTTATATCTGAATCAACTTTAATCATCAACAAAAGTAACAACGAAAACAGTAGAATATAATAAGAGCATATAATTGATTTAAGGTGCATAAAAGACTCACTTTAAAAGAGTTTCCACTGTAGAGAATCATAAAATATAAATTTTTACCATCACATTTCTTTCTTTAAGGTTAAAAAAACCACAAAATCACTCTATATAAAGGCAAAATCATCAAAATGGCTATTACTGACCACTAAGTAGGCAACCACTGTTAATGAGACAGAAAAATTGGTCTTCGCCACTATTATCTCGAAATTGAATCATTGGGGATGAAAAAAAAAATCTCCTTTTGAATCATAAAAATCATATTAGAAACGATAACTATAGGTAAATGGTAGGCGAGCCATCGGAAGCCATATCCACCTGAAAGGAGAACCTATCTACTGTTTGAATAATGGACAATACTATGAGGAAAACGATAGACCTTCAATGCGATGAAGAACTAGATCTAGATCTGGTCTACGTGTGTGTGAGTTTTGTGGGTGGAATGTTGTAATTGATGATGTAAATGATAAATAAAAAGAATAATAATTAAATAGATGATTTTTTTTTTCGTCAATAATAGTAATGAGATAATTTTATCGGATACACTAAAAATAAAAATTAATAGACAGAGAAATATCATTTATTTTCATACATAACGTCAATCACAAGTTTCTATATAGAGTTGTCTCTTAATCATTAGAGGAAGAGATATATCCATTAATAGGGTTTGTGTTAGAAATTTTGGGGGAAACTAATGAGATTATCTTATTGATCATCAAAAGAATGAGCCTATATATAGACAATACAAAATAGACTCGATAGACTCAAATCTAAGTAATCTAATGTATGAATAAGATCAAATCTAGACATAAATCTACTAAATCTAAAACTGAATATCTAAAATATCTCAACATCCCCCCTCAAACTCAAGCGGTATAACAGAAACCAACTTGAGTTTGATAAGAAATTTGAATATAAATGCAAAAAGAAAATATAAATAAAATTAGCAATTGACTCTTCACCCACCGGAGTAAAAAAACGAGATGACTCTCCACCGGAGCCGAAAACGACATGACTCTACCGAAGCCGAACACGAGATAAGTCTCCACCGGAGCCGAAAACGAGATGACTCCACTAGAGTCGAAAACGACATGACTCCACCGGAGCCGCCGAAAACGACATGACTCCACCGGAGCCGAAAAGCACATGACTCCACCGGAGCCGAAAACGAGATGACTCCACTAGAGCCGAAAACGACATGACTCCACCGGAGCCGCCGAAAACGACATGACTCCACCGGAGCCGAAAGCGAGATGACTCCACCGGAGCCGAAAAGCACATGACTCCACCGGAGCCGAAAACCACATAATTCCACCGGAGGCGAAAACGAGATGGCCGAAAATGAGATGACTCAACCGGAGCCTAAAACGACATGACTCCACCGGAGCCGGAAACGACATGACTCAACCGGAGCCGAAAATTCTACTGGAGTCGAAAACGACGGGAGTACTCTCCACAAAATCGGAAATAACGGGACTCTCATTGCAATAAGAAACATGACTCTGGAGAAACGCAGCAGACGGATCGCATAATCGCAGACAGATGCGCAAACATGACTTCAATCGTAGACAAAATCAGGACTCAAGATAAAATCAAAATTAGAAAAAGAAAGGACTAGAAACTATAGAAAAAATTTCAAAATTAGGAGATCTCCGGGTACATCCCATGTACGCGAGAACAGAAATTTCAAATTGTACGCAGGAACAGACAGGCAGCGGACAAATGACAGATCTCAGACGAGACAGATTTGCAAAAAGACAGACTTGCAAAGGCAAAATCTTAAAATCACAAGACCTCCGGGTACAATTTAGGTTGAATGTACCCGAAGAAACACAGGTTCGTAGGCTATATCAAAGGCATGAGAAAAATAGATTCTGATACTATATTAAAAATTTTGGGGAAAAATAATGAGATTGTCTTATTGATCATCAAAAGAACGAGCCTATATATATAGGCAATACAAAATAGACTCGATAGACTCAAATATAAATAATTAATTTATGAATAAGATCAAATCTAAACATAAATCTACTGCATCTAAAACTAAATATATAAAATATCTGAAAAGTTTGATTGTTCAATGTTTAAGTCTTGCACTTTATGGTACATATGAAACCTGGTACAATCAATATTTTCTTAAAAAATTGCACCGAACTCGTCTGTGGCGGATTTATTCAGGCTCCCCTTGCCAAACTCCATCCTTATTTCATTATTTATTTATTTATTAAAAAATATATTTATATACTATTCTATATTCTATATAAGTGATGTTTGAAATAAATAAATAAATAAATAATAATAATAATAATAATAATAATAATAATAATGATATATAGTGTTAAATTATTTTTTTAATAAAAAATTGTATTATATTTTATTTAAAAATATAAAACATAAATATTTACAATATATATAGTCATAATATATAGTTTTGATGTTGTTTAATTTATTGTTTTGTAATAAAATAAAAATAAAAATATAATTTTTAAAATAAAAAATTATTTTTAAAAATTTAAAAGAATTTGCCACCCTCTACTTCCGTCACTGGAGCTCATTTCCTATTGTTGGTCCCATCATGTAATGATACTGTCACCTATTTGAAGAAGGTTCTTTCCCATGAGTATGTTATCCTTTTGGGATAGTCTGTCAATTGTTTTTCTAGATTTTAACTGTATACACAATCGTGTCCCGTAAAAGGCAACCGTCCATAAAAAATTTATGATTTTCTAAACCATTTGATGTGAAAAATAAAATAAAATAAAATAATAGAAGATTGTTCCATTTAAATTATTATTACTTTCTCCGTTAATCAATTGTGTGTTCATTTGACATGACAAAAATTTTAGGAAAAATAGATAAAAATAGAAAATATTATATTTTTTTGGTAAAGAAAAAATAGAAAAAGCGATATTCCCTCTATTCCAAACAAGGTGCAACATTTGTTTTGGACATAGAGTTTTTAGGTGGGTAGTATTAAATAGGATAATTTAGAAATTAAGTGGAGACAGAAATATATATTTTATTTTTTTATTTGAGTGATATGATGGAATAAAATGTGACATAAAGATTAAGTATAATTAATTATTTTTTATTTTAGAAATATTGCAAGGATGTTTGGGATATGTCTAAAAGAAAATATTGTACGGTATTTTGAACGGATGCAATATTTTGTTACATGAAAATAAATTTGAATGAAAATAGATTTGAACTACGGAATGAGTATTATTTACTATGTGATTGCGCGAGCAAACTAAAAGCAATTGGTTGGATGTTAATGGAATAAAAATATTGAAACCCACACGGACCCGACCAACTTTACCCAAATATTTTTTCATTTTAGTCTGTCCCATAATAAATTATTCATTTTTTTTAGTAACTGTACTATCTACTAAACATTACAAATACCTTTACAATTTACAATATATTACACAAATGTCATTACCTTTATATCATAATTTTAGTCATTTCTATTTTATTTCTACTATATCCCAATATAAATAATACTAAATGCAAAATATTTAGTTCCGGGATGGAGGGGGTACAATAGATTTTGTACAACAGAACTTTTCTATCCGAGCATAGCCGAGCCGAGCCGGGCCGAACCAAAGCCGGGTGCTTTCATCGCCGCCGGCATTCTCAACCAAAATGGCCACTGAACCCCTCTCCTCCCACTTCCCTCAAACCCAAGTTATAACCACCTCAGTCACATCGGCCGCCGCTCAATCCGACCCTTTTTCCAGAACGATGATGAGTGGCTGTGGCTGTCGAATTTCACAGCAGCTGCGAGAGTATAATCCTCGCCAGTTGGGAATTTGCAGTTTCAATGCGAGCAGGTATCGCTGTTTGAACCACAGTGGTGCTCCGGCGCCACTTCGTAGATTTTCTTCCGGATATAATGACGGGCCTCGCTCGAAAAGGTTTTTGAGCTTCAAATTGGGGGCAAATGCCTCTTATTCTTCTTTTTCGTCGTCGTCTGTCTCTGATGATAGTGGCGATTTGGCTCGAGTTTCGTATTTTGATAGTGATAATTGTGGTCAAGATATGTCTGAGGTGCCCAGTGTCTCTCACTGTCCCAGGTAATCTGCAAACTCTTTCCTTTTTGGACATATTATTTGGAATGGATTGCTTCTACCAAATTTCTTATGAACTTGTCTATCAGAATAACGGAAATCAAAAGGCGTTTCTTTGTTGTTGTTGTTGTTGTTGTTTCTGTTTAATATAATGCTCCATTGGCTGAAATTTCTACGAAGAGATTGTTTATGGGGTGTAACATTACTTGACCCGAATCCTACTAGGAGTAGTTAATATCATTCATTTTCGTCGATAATCTAACAAATGAATACAAGCAGCTGTGATATCTGAGTACTGTGCATCTTTAACTTGTCAGTATACATATAACAACTTTGTATATTTTAGTCTATTAGTTAATTTGGTCCAGTTAATACGATAGTTTGATAAATTGATGAAAGAAAAGTTGAAGTAAAAAGAGAATTGGCTTGACTAAATGGAAATTTTTGAATGTATATTCTATAATTATTAATTTAGTTTTCTTCACATTACTAGGATTTGTAAAATAACATGAAACTCGAGATGTTTCAGGTGCCTACTCATAATCATACCAGAGAAAATAGGAACAACTTTTGAGTAGGGAGGACTTGTTAAAAAATTTCAAAACACTTGCAAAATGATATACATAGTCCAAAAGCAACTAATCAAAACTCCTTGCTTTAGGAATTTCAAACTTCATTGCTGTGTTTCAACTCTTCCAACTTCTTAGTCGGGATAGCTTTTTTGAACAAGACTGCAATTAGTATCCTGGTTTGCAGTAAACCAAATGTATGTTACCATAATGTCACATCCCTTTCAAATATTAAGGCATGGTGTTAAAATGCCTGGTTTTTCGATGAACATAGGAGTATTTCAGATAGCAATGGTTGCTTGGATGTCAACAAAAATCTGTGTGCTTTCTCTTTGTTCCAAACATAGATCACATATAATCTTGTTTAGCAAGATTCCTTGATTCACTGCGGGGGTCTCTGCTATGAATTCGGCCTGTATTGTAGATTTTCCGACAATTCTTCCCTTTCAGAGCACCGTAAAAAAAAAAAAAAAACTTGATCTAAAGTTTAAGCGATATCCTGAAGTACATTTTATGTCATCAGTAGAGCTTGCGCAATCATTATCAGAAAATTCATATGGTTGAACTCTGGGCTCTTCTCGTACTTCATACCATATTTTAAAGCACACTTGATGCTGTAATAATCTTCTAGCTGATTGTAAATGTATTTTAATAGCCCCATGGATGTACCGAGATAACAGTGTTATTAGCATGCCCAGTCTCATTGCTGTGACATACATCAAGCATCCAACTAGGTGTCTGTCTACTCAGAATCTGTTTTAGCCAGATATCTTGGTGTTTGTTTTAAGCCGTAGAGTCCTGTCTTAGCAATTAAACGTTATCTTCTTCACCATGCTTCAAAAATCCTTCTAGTTTCTCTACAAATATTTTTTTTTCTTGTAGATTCTATTTTAAAATGTTGATTTGAAGTCTAACTGGAACAAAGAAACAATCTAATTGTGTCAAACCTAATAACAGGGACAAATGTATCAGAATAATGATCACCAAACATTTGCATATAACCTTTAGCTACTACTGTAGTTTTTATTCATTTATTTTTTATTGAGCAGTCAGCACTGAGCTTCTTAGGTTTATCTGCTAGGTCCCATATCTTGTTTCCCTTAATCATGAGCATCTACTCCTCCATTGCTTTCTTTGTAGGGGAAAATAAACTATGGGTGTATGAATGAACAACACATGATGCCTTGGATTATACTCGAGTTGCGGACAAGTCACTTCCCTAACACAATATTTCGACCTGCCCAACAACCCAGGGTTACACGAAATTTGTATTAGGATAAAATGAGTACGCCCCTTCATTTTGGTTGAATAAAACCCTAGAGAAAGGAAGAAGATAACTTAAGGTGTTATGTAAATTCTGTGTGTATATAAGAGGCCAAAGTCTGATCTTGTATATATTGCAAATGAAGCCTTAACAAGCCTATATAGAGGCATGAAAATTATGATCCAAGAAGCACCTCTTCAAGAGATGCCTTTCCATTTCCAACCACCAAGCAACCCCATTCATTCAAATTAAAAAATTCAAGAGTTTGAATTCAGAAATTGCCAATTTGGAAATTCCACATCATTTTATGTATGATTGGACCCGAGAGACGAGACAAATATAACCAGAAGGAGGCGACTGAACCATTCTCGCGCCCACGTGCTGCGGCTGTGGGCCTGAGTGTGGGCTTCCTCCCTTGCGTGTCCCTCGTCTCTCCTTATTGATCTTCATTTTTCTTAGCTTCTTTTACATCCGTGGAGGTTGATATAATGCTTGAGCATGTGACCCAAACTCAAGCTCAATTATCAACCTGCACTATTGGCCAAAGGTTTTATTCCAATTACACTAAAATTTCCAACATTCCTCCCTTATTGATCTTCATAATTTTCCCCCTCCTGATGAATAGAGAGCTGTGAGCTGATGTTTGATTTCTGCATCATCACAAAAAGATTTGAGCTGACTTGAGGTATACTGCTTTCAGTTATCACACTTAAACCTGTATCTTCCTGCCGCTTTGATTCTCCACAGTTTTCTAACTTAATAATCCAGCCACTTCCAAGAGTTGCTTTGCAAAGCCAAATTTTAGAATTTGTAGGTTTGTTTGCTAGGTGCATCTGTTGAAGGATTAGGCGTTTGCCTGAAGGGAACATACCCAAGAAAATACTGTCTAGTTTTAGTTCATAGCTTTAAATATGCATTTGTAAGGGGCAATTTAGAAATAGCTGAAGAGCAGATTTCTGGATGAAGACGATAGATCAGGTGAAAAATATCAAAACCATGCATTTCTAGATTGAAGAACTTCCCTGACCTGGTAGGGCCCCTTTGACCGGCTTCAAAATGAAGGTTCTTACTCAGTATGAAGTGCTTCTTTCCCTAATAAACTCATCTGGTGTTTAATTACCCTTTCAGGTTCTAAGCTGAGTAACTTAGTTTGTCTTGAAACACCCTGAAAGTCCGTCCACATAATTTTCCCATTTAAGGAATTTTAAAGAGAAATTCAAGTGCGGAACCAGAAATTGATTTGACTTCCATTTCACACCTAGAATCCAAAATTCTTTTCCAACCCTTTGCCATTTTACAGACCAACTTTGCTCTATCTTTGCCCGTAGACCTGATTAGTATTGGTCAAATTTTGGGAAAGGCCTGGTGGTATGAGAGTCAAGATTATGATTTCTGAACCTTATTACAGAGGGTACTTTCCTTTTGAAAGTGCCATGCTCGCTTAGTGACAAAAGTATTAGTTAGTTGCCCAATTGGTGCATGACTCATTTCTTTACTACTGCAGAGTGACTCTTAAATCTAATTCTCAACATGGAACTTCTTTTTCTTAACGTTTTAGATTGAAAGACCTACATAGCTAGAGATTTGATTGAAATCAATGTTGCTAAAAATAATCTGATTTGGCAACCCAAAGATTTTCCTCTTCCTTTGATGATATTTCCTACCACAATGCTTGCAAGGTGGATAGCTTTTCTTCAAATGTTTGCCTTTGCTTTGGGGCTGGTTAGCTGCTGCATTTCTGCTGCTTGAAACATTGTTTCTCCTGTAATATTTCTTGATTCTTCCTGCTGTTTGATTCTTGGTTGGTAGAGCTTCTTCATCAGATTGTTCATGTATCATCATTCTTTGTGTTCTTGGGTCTGCAGGGCATTTAACAGCTCTGCCAAAGTGACCCTTGATAGATCCTTTGTGCTTCCCAAGGTGATTATACACGCTTCATATCCTTCAGGCACTCTTACACGATTTCCTTGTACAATACTTGAGTCATCAAGTTTAGTGTCAACTAACCTGACCTTAATAACAATGCCAAGCAACCTTTCTGAGTATCCTCAGACTCTTTCATCCTTTGCAATTTGAACTCTGAAATTAAATTCAGAACTCCTGTATTATTTCATCTCCTGGATATTCAGGATTCTGTTGAAAATAGCGGTTGAGAGCTCAAGCATTATTGAGGAGACATGCTTTGGCCTTTGTTTTTCTAGTTCTGTTTTCACTGTTATTTTTAATTTGAACCATGGTTGGATTTTTCGCTAGTGGAGGAACATCATCCATAGCCTCGAAATAGATTTTCAATTTTATTTGCCCCAAGGCAATAATTCTGGCCGTCAAAACTTGGTGGAGCGATTATGGGAAAACGTAGCTTAATTGTCAATTCTACAAACCTATTAAGAAAGGTGCTCTGATGCTAATCTGATAGCATTTTGAATTGATTAAAGAAAACTGAAAGTAAAGAGAATTGATTTAGTTTAATGGAAATTTTCTGGATGGTTTTTATTTTTTATTTTTTATCGAACTTCTTTAAATTTTTAGGAAATATAAATATAGCAGAAAGCTAAAGCTGAGATATTTCATCTGCCTACTCATATACTCCAAAAAATACAACTTTTATTGGAGAGGGCTTTTAAAATTATGAATAATTTGCATGCAAGACGATATGATCAGTCCAAAACGAAACTAATCAACATAATGTATCTCTATTTATATTCTTTTTTATTTTTGTCTTCCTGCTCTGAGCAGCCCAACTGACAATGGGAGGATCCATCCAACTGAAGAAGTTACATCAGTAGCAGGTTTGTTCTTCAAAGCTATTGTTTAAGCAGTTTACTTTTGCTCATACTTTGCATGCTGGTGTGTACTGTTCTTATTAAAAGATTAATAAGCTGTTGAGTATGGTGACACTGACATGGACGGTTACAAATACCAGTTACCTACTCATAATATGTATATGCTATTCTGGCAGTGCAAAGAATCTATTATACTCAACTTTACCCAATTACTATAACAATACTGTTTCAGTTGATATGGTATTTGACTCTGCTTCATCCGATGTTTGTATGCTCTATTTCAATGCCTGTGTCTTTAGTTATTATGGTTTGTCAGAGGCATTTCGTTTATATTTTAAATCTAAAGGAAGGATTTGGAGAGTTGGAGAAAGTTTTCGAACTAAACTAAACAATAGAATGCATTCACAATCCTTTCGTGCTACTCAAACTATAAATTGAATTAAAATGCTTCAGAAAATCAATGTGTTGAAATCAATATGAAGAATATCTTGTGCTGGATTTTGAAACCCCTCAATCCTAGTGGACCCTAAGGTGGTATTTGTTTGGGGGTTTGAGTTTTGGATTGAGATTTGAATAGTAATTAATTATGTGATATAAATAAGTATTGATGTGATATTTTGAATGTAAAGTTAATTTTAGTATAATATAAAAAATAAAAAATAGGTGTTTTATTTGATGTTTTTGGGAGAGAAATTTTATGGGAATGGTAGAAATCACCCGAAATCCTTCAAACAAACACACCCTATAGTGTTTTTATAAATGCAAGGCTTGAGGTCCAATCTAGTTTAGCTGTTACTTCTAAGATATGTTGGGTTAAGAACTTTGTTTCAAGCATATGGTTTGTGAAATTTTGTTTGAAAAATGAATTATATTAGTCATAATAATGGATGCAATTATGATAAATCATATTTTTATTGATCATTTGGGATGGTTTGGATAAATCCTTTTCACACTGGACCATCATTCCTGGTCTCCTTTGACATCTTACCTTGACGAGGACTTAATAATTTGAATAATTAATTGGTATGCAGACATCTATCATTCAATATATGTTATTAGTGATTGTTGTTATTGTTACTTTTATTTTGTTATTTTATTGTAGTCCTGTGATTTGTTTTTTTATTGGCTAATTGTTTGCCTACACATATATCATATCTTATTATCTTGTTTCCTCAAACTTGTGTAAAATTTGCACAAATATATGTTGTAAGTGTGTCGACCTAGTTTTGTTTTTAATAGGACAGTTGGAGTAATTTTCTGAAACTCATTTTAAGCTTGAGATTGGAATTATTTTGGATGAAAACTGACTAATGACTATAACAATGTAAAATATAACTATTACGCAGTAACTGATACTTCAAGTGAAACGTTCTTGTTATTGTCTCATTTTAGAAAGCATCTTGGTTAATTCAGTTGGGATAAATCAATCCCCAAAGTTTAGTTGATTCTGTATTTATTTTTCCTTTGCTTGATTACCACAGGAGGCATTGTAGCACTTGGGAAGTTTGATGCCCTCCATATTGGACATCGGGAACTTGCAATTCAAGCCTCCAAGATAGGATTGCCATATCTATTATCTTTTGTTGGCATGGCAGAGGTACTTGGATGGGAATCACGGTATGAAATAAACCTTTCTTTTCAATCGATTTAAACTGATTAAGCGTAGTTTTAATTGCCAAAAATATTTTACAATTATTCAAGTATCATGCTTGTGCAACCTAGTTTTTGTTTTGGCCAAAACTACATCTCAACTATCAAATATTTACCCAAAGTGTACTTCCATCCAATTTTGCATCATTATAACCTCTAAATATCAGTGCATTTTAGTCTTGTTACTATAAATTCTTAAAATTTCCCCCAACTCTAATAAAAATCCCCTATTTCTTCTACAATATTCTAAATTGAAAATGGGTACTAGACTACTAGGAGTCCAATTCAGCAAGAGACTGATGGCAGCAACCATGAAACACAAAGTCCAAATCCTTCTTCAACAAATTCCAAAACCCTCTGACACCTAATCTCTAACATCTTCTCAACCCATTTTCTGAAGAAGAGAGGTTGAGCCTGCTGAAGATACAAGAGAAATCAGTATCAGACAATTTAGATAGGTTTTAGTTTGGAAAATTCAGGCTTAATTGTGTATTGAAAGAAAATGAAACAAAAATGGGTTAGGTGGGGGTGCGGGGGGAGATCCCTTCTCGATCTTATCAGAACGATAATGTTCCAGGTTCTTATAACTTTAGGTTTGTATTGGTTACAAACGCACATATATCCTGAGTAGAACTATTATATCGAAAAAACTTTAGTGGGTAAACATGTTTTATATCTATAATCTTGCCCAAGCATATATTTTATATCTGTACTTTTGACCAAGTATAGAATTAACTTTCTTAATAGCTTGCTATTTAGGATGGCTACCCGTTGAAGGAATCCCATTCCTAAAACACCTAAAATTCGAAAAAATTAATGAAACAAATGCACAGCTGAATATAAACAGTATCCTTGGAGCAATGCAATAATTCTAATTCCTTTGTTCTGTCACCTAAACAATTTATTAGCCAAAAATACACTACTACACTTAAAGTTATAATAAAATCATTTTTTTTTAATATCTATGTTTTTTGGTATTGTTGTTTTTAAGTGAAATAGCTATTGAATGTAATATTTTGAATGAAAAATAGACATTTGATATAATATCTTTCTGAAGAAAATTTTGAAATGTAATATGTAAAAAACAAGTAAACATACCTTCAAATGACAGTGGGCTTGGGTCCATATTTACTGTTCTACATGCACTTTGTAGGCATATCAAACCAGCACTTTGATTACTGTGATGCTGATTTGACTCAATAAGCACATGTTTATAAAAAAAAAAAAAAATAGCATATCCGATAGCACATATTAGTATAATATATATATAGCACATATTTTGACTGCCACCCATAAGACAGATAGCACATGCTGTGTAGCCAAATTAATGAGATATACTATAGCCACCATAAACTGTAAAGATAGGAAAAGACTAGTTTCTGACCACCTTGTAATATTTTAAGCAGGCCTCCGATAGTTGCAAAATGTGATAGGAAACGGGTTCTCTCCTCTTGGGCTTCACTTTGTGGGAACATCATACCTAAGGAATACCATGTTGAGTTTTCAAAAGTACGGCATCTGACTCCGCAACAATTTGTGGAAAAGCTGTCAGATGAACTTGGGGTTCAGGGTGTTGTGGCAGGTATATTTGCCTTACTGATCATTTATCTACTTAATTTTTTTGAACCATACAATAAGCTTTTAAAGACTTAGAAAGGGACCGAATAAGCTTTTCGACCACCAGTTGGTGCAAGAGGTTATTCATATCACGACCGTCTATCAATGACTTGTTATTTATTTAACTACCATCTGAGAATTTTCTAGAAAGCTCATGTGTCAATGTGGCAGGTCAAAACTATCGATTTGGGTACAAAGCAGTTGGTACTGCATCCGATCTTGAGCGGTTGTGCAAGGATTATGGTATGGAAGCTTGTATAATAAAATGTGTAATGGACAAAAACCAAGAATCTGCAGAGAAAGACACCAGCAATTCCCGGGAGCAAGGCCAGGTATCATCCACTCGAGTTCGGTATGCACTCTCCCAAGGGAACATGAAATATGTGTCTCAGTTGTTGGGACGTCATCACCGGCTTGTGCTGAATGTTAATGGCGAAGGGAAGTTCTCTAGAGATAGAAAACAGTTATCGGCTCGTAGGTCTTGTTTGTTGAATCTTGCACCCAGAGAAGGACTTTATACTGATTGTTGGCTCGTTGCTGGAAATGAGAAAACAGTACCGTGCAGGGTCATTCTTGATACAACAGATATTCATTTAGAATTAGATGAATTGGTACCTCATGTTAGCGATAGTCCCCAAAGCTCCCAGGTATTGAGTATAGAATTTGGTGACTCCAAAGCTTATGGTGATTAGTGAATTCATTTTTACCTTTAGAGCATCTTGGAAAACATCTTTTGTTTATTCTATTCTATTCTATTCTATTATATTGATTGGTTGATAATAGCTTGCTAGTCAGTTCATTTCCCGATTAGATCTGGCTGTTATTTCTTTCTTCTCTTCTGTTATGTTTATACCTGAGAAAGTGAGAATTGTTGAGATGAGGGGAGGGCACAATCAATATCTATACCAGATCTGGGCTGTGTTTGGCAATTAGCTTTTAGCTGTTAGCTGATTCCAATGATTCAATTAGCCGTTAGCGTTTACTTGTTAGCTGTTTATATTAAAGTGCTTTGTAAAATAACTGTTTGGCATTATTAGTTGTTTATACGTAAAATGACAATTGAGAACATTTATATTTAACTTTAAAAAAAATTTAATTGTGTTTTTTTAGTTTTAAAAATTTTAAAATTTTTATTATTAGTTATTTGAAATTACGAATGTGTTATAAAATATTTTTTGATTAATTTTAGATTGAAAAAAAATAATAGTATATATTTTTATTAAGAAATATGAATATTTTTTTATTAAGAATGATATAAACTATAAAATAATAAAATTTTGGTATATATATTTATTATATTAACTAGCGGATAGCCGTGCTTAGAGCTAGTAAACGAGCCGAGCGAGTTCGAGTATTCGTTGTTCGAGCTCGACTCGAACTTGTTAACGGTACAGGTTCGGCTCGACTCGTTAAGAATTTGAGCCAAAATAGTACCTCGAGCTCGGCTCGTTAGGCTCAAATTCAAGCTCGAGCTCCGCTCGTAAGGCTCGAACTCGAGCTCATATTATGTATATTTTTTAATATATAAATTAAATATATTTAATTTTATTCATAATTTTTTATAATAAAAATATTTAAATTTTAATAATAAATATAAATTTTTTGATATAAAAAATTATATATATTATATTAATATATAAATAATATAAATATATTATCACTAACGAGCTCAAGTGAACTACTCGCGAGCCGAGCTCGAGTTTATAGAAAAAATAATTTTCAAAAGTTAAAACTTCTTATACATTTTCATTAATAAATATAATACTATTATTTTTTTAATTTATTACAAAACCCTACGGTATATTAAAGAGGGACTAATGGATATATATTTATTGAAATTGAGCCAATTAATAATATTGATTTAAATTTGAAATACTAAAAAAAAATATTATTACTCTATTTAAAATAATATACTCACTCAATTTGCTCAAAACATAACATTTTTTTGTTCAATTTTCATTTATCCAAACTCCTTATATTCATTTATATTTTATTTATGGTTACTATAAAAAAAATTAAACGTAGATAAAAATATTTTTTATTGAAACATAGAAACAAAAAGAATTTTGACTGAATCTTATATATAAGATTGATAAAAATTTAAATAAATTAATTTATATTTATAAAATATATTTAACTTGATAAATTAATATGATTATAAGACTATATTGCATTTAATTACTTTTTTTTATTTAAACATCATACTAATTTTTAATTATATTACATCATATAACCGATTACGATTTGAACAATTGGTTTATATATATTCATTTTTAATTTTTTTTTTAAATTTCCTGACTTGTTTTAAATTTTAATTTTACTAAAAATAATTAATTTTTATTTTGATTTATTCAAATATATATTTATTATGTAAAAATGATCTAAATAATACTTTTTCTATTCCACATTAAATATTTATTTTTTCCATTTTCTTCCTTCAAATAGTTTGTCACTTTTTTTTTTCGAAAATATAATTATATATTTATTCATATTTTATATTTTATAATTTTAATTTTTAAATTTTAATTAAATTATTAAATTATTTTAATTTATAATTATTTTTATTATACAATAATTATTTTTAGATTATTTATTAAAAAAAGTTAATATTATTTTTATTCTTCTACATACGCCGATCGTCACCTCTATTTTTTTCAATTTTATAATTATTAATTTTAATTAGTAGGCCCCACAAAAGAAAAATTATAAAAAAATAGAAAAAATGTTGGTTCACCACGTGCCGAACCAAAATCAAAGCTAAATATATATATATATATATTAGATTATTGATTAATTTATTATATTTATAATTTTTAATAAATTTATTCTATTTTATTTAATTTTAATACTATAAAAATAAAATAATAATAATAAAAACATAATTATAGTTTACAAATAAAATTAATTATATATAAAAATTAATTAATTTTAATTTATAAAAATAAAATTATAATTTAATAAATAAATATTAAAATCATTTATAATTACCGCAGTATAAAATATATTTATATGTATATGAAATAAATAATAACATTTTAAGGATAAATAAGGAATAAATAAAATAAAAATGAAAAAATTCTTTCAAAACGCAGGGTTATACTGTTTGTCACACCCTCCTAATACTAGAGAATAAAATTATGGACAATGATATTCACTATAGAATGAGAAGGATGCTCTTTTTAGAATGAAATTCACTAGAGAATAAAATTATTGAGATTTCCTCGTTAGATTTTAGATCAATCTAAAAAGAATTAAATCTTCTATAGAAAATATAGGTTAAATTGCACAAAATTCACCTATGGTTTCACAAAGTTGCGCAAAATTCTCTATATTTTTAAAACTGTGTTAAACTCCCTCTTGTTTTCGTGAACTCAGTGTCTAACCCATGGGCCGTCCTTATTTAATGGCGTTTAATCTACACGAGCTCAAACTGCGAATGAATTTCAGAATACTAATTTCGAAACTCCTAAAATTATAAATATATTCATTTATCTTATATTTAGTCTCAAATGACATTAAAATAACTTTTAAAATCCGAGAAAAAACAACAATTTTTTAGTATATTTATTATTTTTTTGAAGTTAAATAATAAGAATAATGATTATATTTGTAATTTCAAATGTTTAGAAATGAATCTTTTAAAACTTATTCGCATTTTAGGTGCGCGGACATCAAACAACGTTAAATAAGGACGGCTGAGGGGGTTAGACATAAAGTTTATGAAACCACGAGAGAGTTTGACGCAGCTTTAAAAATTTGAGGGATTTTGCACAATTTTGTGAAATCACGGATGAATTTTGTGCAATTTAGCCAAAATATATGTTTATATAAATTTATTTTTATTTTTTTTTATATATACAATATAACATAATAAAAATAATTCAAACATTGAATATCATATACCTTACATTCTACAAATATCAATTACAGAATTGATAGATAGATATTATATGTTCAATCATAGTGATTCCGGCATAGAAATTACAATGGCATTGAAAGAAATGTCACCGTATTTATTTGTTAGGAGATATGATCGATAATGCAGGTCAGACTTCAAAGCTTCATGTATGTATGGAATGTTGCCACCCATTCGCAACGAGAGGGCCACTCACTATTCGGCAGGAAAATCCAAAAAAATTTCAATGACTAATTTGAGTAAGATTTCCTGTATGTTTGTTGTACAATCCCTAATGATGTTAGTTCTGGTACAACACCTGAACCAAACTGCACCTATTTTGCAGTTTGCAAGAGCTCTGAATTAGTTACCATTTTTTTTTCCAACTATCTATCTATCTATATGCGTATTAAGAGACACGATTGATTGTCATAATTTCGGAAGGTTCAAATTCTTGGAAGGGATCCTCAAATAGTTTCAAAATACTTCCATAATACAGGGGCGGCCTTAACGGATGTAGTAGCAACAACTCATCGATCCAGGGGACAATTATATTATTTTCCACCGTTATATCATTAACAACATTTGCTGATTTATTGTCTTGCTAGCAATTGATATTAACTTCATCTTCACTTTCACTTTCACATCTCAACAATCCAGTTAACTTTACTTTCAACTTTTCCCTTCTTTTGTTCATTGTCTTTGTATTATGTAATAAGGTTTTTGATCCCTCCACATTCTCATGGTTTATTGATCATTTTCTTAGAGAGTCTCAATTATTTTCTATCACAAGCTAACTGGGGGAGGGGGGGGGGGTGTGTTCTTTTCAAGAATTTTATCACATGTCCAATATTCAATATAAAAATTTTCTCTAAAAACATCAAATCAAATACTTATTTTTCACTTTTTATATTATACTGCTAAAATTTTTAAATTTTATCTTTAAAATATCACATCAACACTTATTTATATCACATCATATATCTATTTTAATTCAAAATTTTTACTTAAAGAAATTATATATAAAAGAAATTCGAAAGTTTGCTAATCTCTTGTCAAGTATAAAATAAATTGAAAGTAATGAGGTATTATGTCCTTCCAAATCATAAGAGAGTACTCTTACAAACTAAAAAAAAAAAAATACTCCCTTAATAAAGCTCTTAGTCCAAGCTAGGTATTTTAATTAACTAATGCTCCTAATACTGTCATGCGCTTAATGAAGCTAAGTTTGTATGAATCATGCGTTTCATGCTTTCAATATAGACTTTTTATTACTCCTTTTACCGATGAAAGCACAAAGAACATGATTCATTAAACGCATGAAAGTACTAAGAACATTATTTAGACCGAATGGCATTACCAACCATTAATACAAACCTAACTTGGTTTTAAATGCCGTTCCACTCATCGCCGAGGTCCTAGTCCGTACTGGAGCCTCCTTATTTTTGCGGCAGTTGATGCTCAATTGGTCCCACCATACAAGGGAATAATCTGAAAACTCCATTACGGCCACAAGGAGATTTTGTTGGTCAGTTAGTTGTTGAACATAAAAAAATTAGTTCTAACATTCGTTCCCATTGCAAAAATGCTTCAGGGTTAGATTTTCCTTGGAACAGTGGCACTTGAAATTTGATCGAGTTGATAGTTTTATCTTCATCCCGTCGGTTATGATTATGATGCCTAGGTCATTCTTAATTTCCTTCAAACTCCTCATCATCGCATTCGTCAAAATTGTGTGGGAGTGGGGGCTGGGTGTTGCGTCTTGGCCTCAAATGCAATTGGACATCATTTTGCCTCTGAGCTTCAGGTAATAGTCGAATGTTCTCTTGTAACTTTTGTTGACTCTCTTTCAGTTGGTCCATCATATTATTCATCAATTCCAATCCAGAATGGTGAAGAGTTTTAAACTCTTGTAGAATGTTATTGAGAAGACCATGTACATCAACTTGTTGAGAATTGGATTTTTTACCCCATTCCATTAGAAAAAGAAAAAGAAAACAAAAATAACCTCACTAGAACTCTTGTGTATCACTTCAAACCT